TAGACTAATAGTTAACCAACATTTTTGATTGGTTGACTAATAAATTGTAATTTATAGTATTTACTTTATATAATATATGACTAGTCGACTAATCATAAAACTAGTCGACTGACTAGTCAACTAAAAATTTTTAGTTGATTCGGATCACTAGTGTAAGGAATAAATTTCTTTACCTAAATTGTTAAGAATTTTTCCCATTAATTCGGGCATATTGCCCATGAATATTTTTAATGCCATGAGGAAAAAAAAATAATCTCTGTAAGATTATCACTATTAGTTTTTGTCCATTTTCCATATTTATTATTTGTCTGTAACACTATTGCGTATGTATCGGTATATCATGCATACGTTTTTTAAATTCTGTTAACATGAATTGCCTCAAATCAGTTAATGCAAATCATGTAAATTAATTGCCCGGGTAACTAATTTATACAGTTTAAAGTACTTTTTCATATTGCAACGATTCACAATTTTTTTCTTACAAAAGTAATTTTTTTTTTATAATTAGGTTTAAAAGAGCATTGCCTTTCATAATATAAAATAATTTCTAAATCATCCCCAAACAGAGAACTTTACTTAGAAGCAAAGTTGCTATGTGTACTATTACATTTTGCAATTAGTAAAATAGAAAAAAGGTCGTAAATCAAGACATTATGAATTAAGAATACAGAAACAACTAGGGTTATGTCTTAACTATACCATTCTAAGTCTCTTTCTAACTCTGTTGTCACCTACTTATGATTTTTAAAAATCAACATTTACGCGTTATTTACGTGCAGCAAAAACATCAACTAAAGCAACAATAGCAAAAAAAGCCACAACTGTATCAAAAAATGCACCAACAGATGAACCAACAGCAGAAATATCAAGAGGCAGTAGAGGTCTCCCAATGGAAATCTCTTCATCAAAATCTGATGATGAGTCAGATACAACAAGAATTGGTGGTGATGTTAGTGAGAGTGATAATAATGAAAGTGAAAGTAAAAAAAGAGTGAGAGTAGAATAAGGGAGAGTGAAAGTGAGAGTACAAGTAGGGAGTATGAAAGTAGAAAGAGAAAAGGGGAAAAGGGTGGTGAAAGTAAAACAAAGAAAAGTCAAAAAGGGATAATTAAATGTTAATATATTAATGTTTTATTTTAATTTTTAAAATTTTATTGAAAATGATAAATTTATGAATATAAAATCAGATCATATAATGATCATATCAGTTAATGATATATTAAACAGTAAACTATCATCTAATATTTTTATAATATTAGTTAGCCGATATGTTGTATATAGTATAAACCAGCTAAAATATATCAGCTAGTGTTCCACATGAACCAGACCGAGCAGGTATTTTTAAAGATTTGGGTCTGGTCTGTTCTTAAAAAAAAACCACTTTAGTAAAAAATTATTGCTCTTCATATCTTTCTGATGACTCTGCTCGTCTTTATATCACTTTGTTACAACATTTTTAACCAAACAGAAAAGCTAGCTTATGTTTAATACTGGATTGGACAAATCTTAATAAGGATCTGGATTCAGTCCGGTGTACGGACCGGACCGGACCCAGACCAGACTCGGATCTTTTGCGGAACACTAGTATTAGCCTACTATCCTTTAAAAACAACTTACCGATTATTAAGTAATTAGTAAAATAAATAACAATCATATAAAATATCATTTAAAATAAATAACATATTGTATAAGACGATACTAAAAAATTTATTTATTATAAATATGATATCTCATAATTCACTATATTGGCAATATGTCATATAAAGGATTTTTATTTAATAGTTATTACAATATTATCATATCAGCTAATTAATCATTGAGTAACATTATTATATTATTAAACTGATATTTTAATTTGCTAATAATATGGGGGTGAGTCAGTAGAAACGCACCATATTTTTCTAAGTAAATTTTTTTGAAACTTTAAACAAGAATAATTCAACAACAACTTAATTAAATTTAATAAAAATTATTTTAAACTAATTCAAAAAACTTGTAAAATTTATTTAAAAAATTTTTTACTAAATTTGGTTAAGTTTTTGCTTATTTATTTTTGTTTAAAGATTCAAAAAAATTTTATTAAAAAAGATATGGTGCATTTCTACTGACTCACCCCCATATTCTGTATTCATTCATATTTATCTTTTATATCGGTACAATATCATATAAAATGGATAAAATTTTTTTACAAATTAGCCTTCACTATATTGGCTAATGATTTATCTAATCATCAAATTATCATTAAAAAATCTTGTTCATATCGGCCTTATATCTTCTACATGATAAACAAATCATCTTAATGATATGCGAATGTTAATTTCCGTATATACATCATAATTTACTATAATCTTCCACATATCGAGTTTTTTAAACACTATCATATTGGTTCATAGCCATCACTATATCGTCCTGCTATCACCTAGGCCGATTATTTGAAGATACAGAGAAGATATTTTTGATTTCAACCTGTTGGATTATCCTTACTTCTACCCAATTCGAATAATCTTCTCCTGTTAGTTTATTATGATGCAATAACCACTAGTAGCAATGCTTCACCTTCTTCTAATAAAACTTTGTTTAATAATAGTATTAATTTTACTAACCCTTTTAACAATTAACAAAATTTTTTAATCAATACTAAACCTATTAGAAGAAATAAGATAGTGTTCTCTTTTATTGCTGTCCCTAATCCGGCCGTGATATTTCTTGAAGAAGACTTAGATAAGTCTAGTGATTTGTGCTTCGAGTGGTATACATCTGCTTGGAAGAGAAAAGTTCTAGAATATAAGTATAATGAGAATGATTCTGATGCTGATAGTGAAATCGACAAAATTTAAAGACTGATTAAGCTAAAGAAAGAAAAACTCAAGTTTCCTTCCACTAAGTGCTTATATGACTTAGCCAGAAATGCTTATTTTCGAAAAGAAGAAATTAAACCAGATCTTTGTAGCTATATCTCCAATAAGCCCAAAGAAGCAAAATTTAATCTCATTAGTAATATGTTCGATTATTACTTTGGGGAAGAGATTAGTAAGAAAGATAATTTTAATTTAGGTACCCTAAATGAAGAACAAAATAGACGGCTTCGAAATTTTTTAAAGTCTTATTCAGCATTATTCGCATGGGAAGGTTGTAGGTTAGGACATACAAATTTAATTAAGTATAGCATCAATACAGAGAATGTTTTACCTAATAAGCATACTCCATATTGGCATTTGCTTGCTGAAAAGAAAATAATAAAGACTAAAATTGATCATATGATGAAGGAAGGTTTTATCCAACCCTGTCAAAGTTTGTGAACTTCTCCTGTGGTGTTAGTACCTAAACCTGATGGACAAACTCAGTTTTGTATTGATTACTGAAAGCTAATTCAGTAACTCAGAAGGATAATTACCTATTACTCCATATTCAAGACCTTTTGGATACTTTAAATGGGTCATCCTGGTATAGTTCACTTAACCTTGCTAGTGGGTACTGGCAGGTTGAAGTCGAAGAAATAGATAAGCTTAAAACCGCATTCACCACCTACCCCTTTTGGTGGTTTGAGCTGACAAACATGCTGGCCACATTTCAATGTCTTATGGATTACTTTTTTCAAGAGTATGTTTTATCGTCTACTTAGACGATATTAATGTTTATTCGAAATCTTTCGAGGATCACCTAATGCATTTAAAAATAGTTTTTGAGCAACTAAAATTAGCTGGTCTTACTCTTAAGTCCTCCAAATATTTCTTTGGCTGTCAACAGATAAAATTTTTAGATCATATTGTCAAGAAAGAGGGTATATCTGTCAACTCTTAAAAAGTAGAAGTGGTAAAGAATTTTCTTATTTCTAAAAACTTGAGGCAATTATGGAGATTTTAGATTTAGCCTCGTATTACAGAAAATTTATTGAAAACTTTACCAAAATCACCACCCCTCTTAATCAATTACTAAAAAAACATAAGGCTTATACATGGAAAGAAGAACAACAAAAGGCTTTTGAAGTCTTAAAAGAAAAATTAATTACCATACCCAGATTTTGATAAAACTTTTATTCTTTTTACTGATATCTCTGATGTTGCATTAGGTGCTATATTATTTCAAAAGAATGAAAAAGGTTTGGAACAAGTTATATCATACGCAAGTCAAAGTTTCATCTCTGCCAAAAAAAATTATTCAGTAACTAAAAAAGAATATTTGGCTGTGGTTTGGGCCATTGGTTATTTTTGTTTATATTTACACGGAAGTTAATTCATTCTATATACTAACTATTTCACCCTTAAATATTTATTTGAAGTAAAGTTATTTCAAGATCGTTTGGCCCGATGGATAATGACCCTTACCGAATATCCCTTTACTACTGTATATTGTCCCAGAAGATTTCACACCAACATCAATAGTTTATCCCAAATTTAATAGGTCACCGTCAATAAAGCATCTGTGGTTCTAAAATAATTAAGAAAAAAAAAAGTAGAAAACACATACAGTATATAATTTTTGGAACCTGACAAAAATAAAAATTGTCAGAATTTTTAAACTCCCTTTAAAAATCTATTAATCCAGTTCAGGTTTCAGTGTTCTGGCATTCCCAAAATTCTTTTAGATTCTTAAGATTCATATTATCTGTTTTTTTCTTTTAAAAGAAAAATAAATCATTCAAATTTTTCAACGTAAATTGGACCAAGTTAGTGAATATCGATCCCCAATTATATTCCCTTTACCTTCAGTATCTCATAGATACTATAGTATCTTCCCATTATACCCCCAAAGTACTACAAAATTAAATATAAGACCTGTCATTATTTGGTCTTAGATGAATTATTATATAAAGTTAATTCCTGTTCTCCCACACATCTATTATGAGTCTTAAAGAAAGATGAAATCTAGCTCGTCTTTTTCAGCATGTATAATAACCCTCTATCCGGACATTTTGGCTTTTATACCACCTACTAAAGAATAGCTATCTATTATTTCTGGCCCCAAATAGGAAATAACATTAGAAATTATATAAAAACATACAATATTTGCCAAAAGAAGAAGAAGCCCTATACCTGTGAAGCATTATACCTTATTAAAGTTAGAAAACCCTTCGATCACATTGGGATTGATATTGTAGGACTGCTTCCTGTAACTTCAAATAATAAAAGATACATTGTAGTTACCACTGAGTATCTTACTAAGTGGCCTGAAGCTCGTGCCCTTGAATCTGCTGATGCTAAAAATATTGCTACCTTTATTTATAAAGACTTAATCTGTCGACATAGCAATCTAAAAGAAATACTTTCTGATAGAGGCACCCACTTTTGTAACAAACTCATTACCGCCCTTTGCAAAAGGATGAGTATAACTCATCACACTTCTATGGCATATCACCCCCAAACCAATGATTTGGTTGAACGTTTCAGTAAGACTTTATGTGAAGTCTTAAGTAAATGTGTTAATCAATTTGACAAAGACTGGGATGAGTATATTTCTTTAGCTCTTTTTACTTACTATACTACCCCATATTGTACTACTAGTTACGAACTGTTTTTCTTGTTAAATGGTCGTTTAGCAGTTCTTCTGGTTGAAATTAACTTGATCACATACCAAACCCGGCCCGGAACAGAAGAAGAATTACAGAAACAAATCTATAAATGGGTAGAAAATTTAATTGGAAAGTTAGTAGAGACACGATGAATAGCAGGTGAAAAAATTAAGAAAACACAACCATTATACCAGCATTCAAGTAGCCTTTTCCATTATTCTTATACTCAAAATTATATGTAATCTAAATCTAATTTGAAAGTGATAAAAAAAATATTCTAAAGTATAGTGCTAAGCTGTTTAGTTAAGATAAGAGAATTTTTCTGTTATAATACTTCAGATAAAGTATATTCATTTTTACTACAAGTAATACTATTAATATACATAAATAAGCTATTATTTTGTATATATAAAATAATAAATATTGAAGTTAAATAGCTTTAAAAAAGTATAAATTTCTTATATATAAATCATTTGCAAGATTATGTTGACCTTCAATATATTCTTCATCTTTACAATTGTAAACAAAGTGCACTGTATTAACTGCCTTAACCACACTAACAGAAAAGATTTTTCGCCAATGATTTGTTATTTCCAGTCTATACAATAGACGGCCTAGCTTTGTTTGTTTTGTACTTTTGAACTAGTCAATAATAATAAAAGTGAGATAATACTTATTCTTCTTATAATGAAATAGTGTACATATAATCAAAAACTTTCTTCATCATATTCAGAATTAACTGAAACAACATTCCCAAAATGTAAATGACATTGAACAGACAAATTGTTCTTTTTAATATAAAAATTTGCATATTCAAAAAATAATAGAGTGCTGTTAAAAATCATAGATGAATATTCTAAATTTTCGTAACATAACTCCAATTGCTCTTTAAAATCTAGTAGTATCAATTTTTCAATATTTCTTTATGGAATTTGTTTTTTCAATAAAATTTTAGTATAATTATTTGTCAAACAAATCATATAGTTAAGAATTAACTTATTGTCTTATCTAAACTATGTTATCATACCTTTATTTATGTTATTCTCAGCATTATCAGTTTTACTAAAAATAAACCAGTTACTCATTAGGTGCTGTAAATGCAGTGAAAGATTAATTAAAGTATTGCTTGAAGATGGAAAACGCATATCTATGCCTCATCTAGTAAGTGCCAAATTGCAAATAATGTATTATAGTATTTTAGTAGGTCTAAATCTATATTTTTTCAATTAGTTTGTAGTACAATATTCTTAAATATTCAGTGTACCATTTCCTTTGTTCCTACACCAATATTTAACAAATTAGCATAATTTCTAGCATGCAGAGTCATATGAAAATTAATATGTAAATTTGGAAGATTTTTAAAGTCTTCAAATAACTATTAATATTAACAATAGTAAAATTAAATTAGTATGTATACAAAACCTTTTATTTAGCCAATATATTTTTGATACCTGTGCTAGAATTTTTCTTTTATTTTTCAAGCATTCTTGCAATTCAACATAATCTTCTTCTGTAAAATATTTTTTAAATGAAATCGCCATTTTGATACTATTAGCTAACATTTTAGCCAGACTTTTATAGCCAAATCATTATGTGAAAAGTCTAGCCACTGTTGCAATTTGTAAATCTCAGATTGCTTAAAATATTGAATCTTTAAAAGTTTATTTATAATAAAGAAAACACTATTGCCAATCTTAAGCAATCAGCATCATAAAACTATCTATATGAGTTATCAGATTTGGCAATTTAGATCAGTTTTTTGGATATTCAAATAATTTCCAAACTGCAATAAATACAGATTTTTCTTCTACTGAAAAAGTATCAATTGTCATTTTAAGAAGCTTTAACACTTTACCACTAGTAGCATGATACACATCATGTAGTAATTGGAGATATCATTCCTATCTCAATTGATTTAATATTAGTAAATATAAATGCAATCTATATTTTGTAGAAATTTCTTTATGTTTTATTAATGTTGATACTATAACAATTTCTTTAAATTGTTTATTTGTAAGATGTTAATAGCGAGAGTTTAATAATAAATCATAATTAGATATCCAAAAATTTTTGTTTATATTACAAGTATGACAACCTTTTGTAGTATTATACCTTTTAATTCCAACTAGATCATTTCCTTGTGTTATATCTCCAAGACTTGCAATTACAAGGCTTTTAGTACCTTGTATATTCATTATTTAAATGTTTTATTTCAGTAATAGAAAGGCTAATAAATTCATTAAATGAACTGCCAAATGGCACAAATCCAAATACAAAATGATTTTTTAATTGTTTTCTTTGATCAAATTGCATATTTCCTATTTAATATAAACACCACCTAATGAATGATAAACATTGCAAAAAGTGCCAAAATTATCATAATAGATATCTATATATAATTTATAAACTGGAAAACTTGAAGTAGACTCTTTTAATATAGCAAATTCTGAAGAATGCTTGTAAGGATGAATAATATCTTCTATTTTCCATTTATTGTTATATTTGTATAATATTTTACAAATTGTGATTGAAAAATTTTTATCTACATTATTATCATATAAAATTGTAACTATAGTATATTTAATAATCATTTACAGTTCTATAGTTTTAATTACATTATTCACATTTCGATCTAACATCCATATTTTACTTTTTATTGATCATTCTTTACGACTATTACTTTGCAAATTTCTTGGTAATTCTTCAAATATTAGAATATATGAATATTAATATTAAGGTAGCCATCTTTTTGAATGATTGATAAAATTCAACCAATTCTATTTTTTGCAAATTCTTTATAAACTACAAAATCACCTGAATAATATTTTACTACAAGTTATTTTATTATTATTTTTTTTTTGAATATTAAGGTGACTACTCGTAGTCTTTAACACTTTATTAGTACAAGTAGTAGTCTAGTCCGAAAACTAGACCACATGTTATATCAGTATCACAAAAGTACAACTAGCCACATATACAACTTTTGGTTGCCTAATTAAGTAGTCCGCCCGAAGCGTTAGTGCTATACTAGGGGTTCTATACTAGATGTCATACCTATAGCCTAACTAGAAAGCTATCTAATTAAACTTTCTGACTTTTACCAGTACTACATGTTTCTCCTAATATGTCTCTTTTAATGGAGACAATTTCCATTTAAGACACTAAGACTTTAGCCAACAACAGAAGGCATTTATCCTTGTAGTAAACCTAACAGTGTAATACATGTCCCACACATGTATTTGACTGCATGTTCAGTAACTTCTTTTTAACTAGTACATGTTGTGTTGCTGCCAACGGGTTCATATCTCAAGCCAACTTTTGGGGTGCTGCTGTAACCTGATCTGTATTTCAAATACCAACCTTCCTAATTAGTTCTCCATTATGTACTCTTGCCCTTGCAAGATTCACAACAATCCTGGTACCCTAATCCAACCATCTTCTTATCTGGATTCTTAATCGGTCTCTCCCTTACTTCCAGCCAGCAACCCATAAGGGTCAGTCTTCTCAGGCTTTAGGTGTCTGAAGGACGCCCTCTCCTTGGTTTATACTTTCGAAGCATATGCCTTTTTCCTCTAGTGCGTCTAATACCTGGTGGTTTAGCTAGTGTGTTCCCCCACTAAAGAACCTGGTCGCTTGGTTCACCAATCTTGGCCTGGTTCGAATTTAGCCATCATGTAGTACAGTTGAAGAGCACTGCTACTCCCAACTCGTGACTTCCTAAATGGGCTTCTTGTATGGTAAAGGTGATCCCAAAATTTAAATGATCATGGACTTATCAAGTGTTTGCACTGCCCTAAGCCAGTTTGCATTCCTTTGTAGTTTTCAGGTCTTCCCAGTTGTACAAATGTCAGCATAGTGATAGGAATCAACTAAGTTTTAGTTGACTAAATCAACTAAAATCAACCAATTGACTAAATTTTATTAGTTGACTAAAAATCAACTAAAAATAGAGATAATAAATATATAGACTATATAGTGCTATGCATTATACACATTGAAATATTTCAGATCAAAATTTTATAAGCGGGCCAAAATTCCATTTGCATGAAATTTGAAAAAACTCAACACTAATAGCTAACCAATATTTTTGATTGGTTGACTAATAAATTAACTAGTTGACTAGTTATAAAATTAGTCAACTGACTAGTCAACTAAAAAATTTTAGTCGATTCGGATCACTATGCTAGTAGATCTCTTAGAATCACTTCCTGGTGCAACTCAAGTTACAGATCCTCAATTCAGAACCCAATCAAGATATACAGGTTGTCATACCACAGACCTATTTTTCAAAATTATCATCTATGAGATTTGAACTCTAGACCTGCCACTTGAAAAGGATGACAACTAGACCATTTCACTAAGCTGCCACACCTCTTTTTACTACAAGTTATAAAAATATTCATAATAATAATTTAAATAATAAAAAAATTAAATTAAAAAAGATAAAATAAAATATAAAATTAAAAGTAATCAAAATTAAAAAAAATACCTTTGTCTATAACAACAGACTCTTCTCTAAATCTTGGTGATTCCTTCCAAATATTTTCATGCTATAGTTTACATTTTTTTGTAACTTCTTGGCCTGGGCCAAAATACATTTTGTTAAATAGTAAAGGATTGTTAAAGACATGCCAAATAATATCAAGCAATATGCCATTTTAGTATTTTTTGATATAGCTTGTCAGAAATATGAATTTGATGTGATTTAATTTGAAGTAAAGGTAGTTGTTGTCTATACTTTCTAAATTGTCTAATGTTCTTTATAACATTTTTACTATTAAATTGTAGATTATAAATTATATCTACTAGATCATTATATACTTGAGTAACTAAAATAAAAACAAACTTTAACAAATATATTAAAATTTATAAACAATAATTATTTTAATTACCTGTATATACTATGCTTTTAATCCAAAAAAACATTATTGCTTCTGTAAAGTTACTAAAGTATAGTGCGAATTCTCCATTAATTAATAACATTTTTTCATTACATAAAGATTTATCAACAACTTCTCTCAGCATATTATCTTTGCTCATTGAACTGTCTGTATTAAACATATCATTGTTAGTTAACATATCATCGTCAGTTAACATATCATCTTCACTTAACACACTACTTTCAGTTAATATATTGTCTCTGGTAAATCTATTATCCTCACTTAACAAATTATTTTCACTCATGTATCACCAAAATCTTCATTATCTGAAATTTCATTATCGAAATCTTCTTGATTTAAAATATTATCATCAGAATCCATTTCAATATAGTAATTACTAGAAACATTTGTTTCAGTACTTCTTTTATTTAATATCTTATACGAAGGTGTGTTTAGCATATTATATGAGTATCTTAAATAATTTTGGCGAGGATTAAAAGGGATATAATAGCTATGAAACATTGTAATAAGAAAATAAGTTAAAAGTTATAAGTTAAAAAGTAAAATATAATTGTTGAAATGTAAATATATTTGATAATTTACTAGTAAGCTTACTAATCAGAAAAAAATATAAATTAAAGCTAAAATTTGGGTCTTAAAAATTATCTCATATTATCTAATTATGATTTAATTATTAAATCGTAACCTTATATTATTATTATTTTTTTTAATATTTGGGGTGAAGCTCCTGCCCCAGACTTTTATTAATACTTAAGTAAATTGACATATGATAGTGCTGTAAATACATACATATTATATATCAGA